TCTTCTGTGCTGCTTCTATATTAAACTACATATTTGGCTCCATGCAGATTAATTTGTTTATTTCAGACCACAGGTTATTCTCATTTGAAGGTTTCTCTTCTTCAAGACTCATTTGTTCTAGAGATATGGAACCAAATTGGTAAACAAACATATCTGGAAACAATACATCCGTCTGTCATATCAAATCTATATATTTCTCCTCACAAGAGTTCAGCAGCTGCTGCTTCTGTTCTGCTGATTTGCTCAAGTGAAGAGCTTGGTGAGCCTATTACTGTTCATCAGGTTAACCTCTTTTTACTGTTCTTGATTTTGTCCGGAAGGAAATAAATTTGGCCATAGGGTTTTGTGGGGACCCGATCCTCTTTCTGATTATAACAACCTCTTGATTCTTAATATAGACGATCCTGCCTCTGATTCACTGCTTTGGGAAGGGACTATGCCCTGATGGAATTGATGTGCTGGTCAGGATTGGTAGTTACTGTTCAATGGGTTTTCTGACTGATGTTTGTTCTGGAGATGGCATGTTTATTATGTACTTATGTCATTCTTTCACTTTTCAGGTGGTCTTTTGGGGAGAGACCTTTATTCTCAAACAGATGCTACCACTGCTTAAACATGTTGCTCATTCTTGTATTGATGTTTCTTCTATGAATAAGCCTGAGCCTATGCATAGTTGGAGTAGTTCAGCACTTGTTGATTGATTAATGACATTGGATGGTCTTGTAGCTTTCTTACCAAGGGAAGCGATTGTAAAAGATCTGATTGAGGTATGCACTTGGGTCTCAAGTCACGTTTTTCTGTTCTTTATATTCAACATTGGATGGTGTTACTATTTACTGCATCTCCTATTATCATGCAGGATAAGAGGTGTGTACATGCTCTGGTTCTTATGCAAACAAACTTAGAGATCACAGTGCTTCAGGTGCTTTAAAATTTTGATTTTCATTTAACTTCGGTAATCATACTTCATTATTGAAGAATTATACACAATTACACATAACAAAAGGGGTTATATGTGGTAGGGGATAGGTTCTTATGGTTTATTATTTTTTAACAACTGATGTTATGATTTTATCATTTTTGTCTAGCTAAATGTGAAGTTTGTGTCTCTATACTGAAGCAGTGAATCAGGCATCTGTTCACTTCTATGCCAGGCATCACAAATTACATCCGGGTATTTGAAGCTTTTGTAATTTCATATGTGGTGTACCGATCAGGTTGCTGCTACAACCTTAATGGCAATTTGTCAGCGGATTGGGCCAGAGTTGACAGCATTGCATGTCCTGCCACAGCTTAAGGTGCTTTTTGATGAGCTTGCCTTCTCACAAGAAGGTTTCAATGGATCTCAATCTCTCGGTAAAAGCCTGAAGGATTCAAAATCAAAAGTTGATGGAGAGTTTCAAATAGAGAGCCGCATGGATCTTGTGTGGGTGATTATCTGTTCTCAATAGTTAGAAGCCAGGTTGGCATGAAGTACTTAGCTCGTCACTTTTCTTTCATGAATGCAGATTGCTTCTATATCCTTCTTTTTGTTCTCTGCTTGGAATAGAGAAACTTCGTCAGTGTTGTACTACAGGGTTGCTTCTTGAGCAATTTCTTCTACTGTTTCACAATTGGAAGGTATGTATGATTTGCTTTAAAAGAGTGGTGTGGTGCTTTCTCTTATTTATTTATTTATTTGAAGATTCAACTCAATTTCTATACAAAGCACACCTTTTTTCATGTCATATTTCTGAAAATGTTATTATTCAGTGGGAGTATACAGGGGAATCATCTCGAAGTGGTCTAGAGAATGTAAGTACTAAAGTGCCTTTATTGAGCAAGGGGTCAACATCTGATTACAGTCCTGCTAAACTGTTTGACCAATGCTCATCAGAGTTCTGTTCAAACACATGAATCAGCTTCAAACCATATCAAGAGTGAACCCTGGTTTTGGTTCCCTAGTCCAGCTGCTAGCTGGGATGGTTCTGACCTCCTTGGACGATTTGGGGGTCCTAAAGATGAATTTCCGTGGAAGATCAGAGCATCTGTTTTATCCTCGGTTCATGCACATCAAGGGGCCTTGAGATCTTTAGCAATTTGCCAGGATGAGAATACAGTTTTCACTGCAGGCATTGGTCCTGGGTTCAAAGGAACCGTTCAGAAATGGGATTTGGCAAGAATTAATTGTGTATCTGGATAATATGGTCATGAGGAGGTTGGCTATTCTGTTATTATGTTAGATATTATGTTTAAAGGAACTCATATATGCCCTGTTATTTCTGTTATTATTTTTTTTGATAGAAGTTGGAGGTCTCATTAAAATCCTCCTTCGTAGTTGACTTTTTCGAAAAGGAAAAGGTCGACCAGCGGAAGGAATTATTTCTGTTATTATGTTGGCATTAAGTTCTTCTGACTGATATATTTTATTTCATCGAGTTTTCATGGGATGTAATACTATAGGGTAGAGGAGATAAAGAATGCATAGGTTTAGATATTGCCGCAAGAACATACTATTTTGCTAAATATCTACTTTAAGATATGCAATATACTGCTTTCTTATCTAGTTATGCCATGGTATGAACGTAATTTATTAATCTGTTAGGTTTCTTTGGATGTGATGCGTTTAATATTGCCTACTGACCATTTTCTGATGAGTCATATCCAGCTAATAGTTGGTGAAAAAGCTGAAGAGACAGTTTCTATTTACATTTCTGTCCATATTATTCGGCTTGTTCACTCCCAGTGTGATATTTCTTAGCTTAGTGTGGTTATTCTGATTTCTCTAATTGCTTATGGAACTATCAGGTTGTAAATGACATATGCGTCTTGTCAATGAGCGGAAGAATAGCATCTTGTGATGGAACGGTACATGTTTGGGATAGCCAAACAGGGAAGCTTATATCAGTATTCTCAGAACCATCCATGGATTCCCTGCATCTTGTTAGCTCTTTATCTTATTCAACAAAGATCAGTGCTGACCATGTTGATATGTCGAATTCAAACACATCTTCAAGTGGAGTACTTGGTAGTCCATTTGATGAAAGCTTGTACACCTGTATGCATTATTTAGAGCTTGTTGAAAAGCTTGTGGTCGGTACTGGAAATGGTTCTCTCAGGTAGCTACTTACAAATGAGTGAGACAGTCAACTGTTAAATTCAGCTTATTTATGTAAATAATCTTGTTGTAATGCCCTTTATTTTGTGTATTGCTACATGCCACAGATTTATTGATGTCTCTCAAGGTCGAAAGCTTCATTTATGGAAGGGTGAATTCAGTGAATCTGCTTTTCCTTCTCTTGTCGCTGCCATATGCTCATGTGGGTCTGACAAAGAGCAAGGGAATGGAGCTTCCGCTTCACCAAGTTGGATTGCAGCCGGATTAAGTTCAGGTCACTGTCGACTATTCGATGTGAGGAGTGGGTGCGTTATTGCTTGTTGGAGGGCTCATGATGGATATGTCACTAAGGTAAATGCTTCATTCACCGAATTAGAGAGACAATAGAACTTATACTTGAAATGTAGCTACAGTAATACATTTACATATGTGCAGCTGGCTGCCCCAGAAGATCATCTGCTAGTCTCTAGCTCTCTTGACCGGACTTTGAAGATTTGGGACTTAAGAAGGTAATCATTGAAATTGAAATCTAATGTATTAACTATTGAAATATAACTGTGCAAGGTTTCATTAGAAATATTATGCAATAATGGTTTGATATCCTTGTATATTCTGCTTGCTTCGCTAATTGTTTCTTGTAGAAACTTGCCGATGTCCGTCACTTTCAAGGGACATACTGATGGAGTATCCAGTTTCTCGGTGTGGAGGCAGGATGTTATTTCAATATCCAAAAATAAGATTGGACTTTCCTCGCTAGCTAGATCTGCAGACGAAGTAAGTAAACAAAACTATACTTTCTCATTCAATTTGCATTAGCTTTTGATGTTATTTGCACTGGTAGTGGATGCCACGTCTTTGCTATATATATGAATCACTACTAGTAACCATTTTTATCAGTCTCCTTATTTGCTGTATATATATATATATATATATATATATATATATATATATGTAAACAAAGTTTTCCCAAAATGACAGTGAAAAACATTTGGCAGGATGGGCAACATCGAATTATACCTCAGAAACTGTATACATCAGATCATGGAAGTCGGAATATGTCAAGTATAAGTATAATACCCTTCTCGAGACTGTTTCTAGTTGGGACTGAAGATGGTTATCTCAGAATCTGTTGTTAGATAGGAGATGAGATGAATCATCAATGTTTGTAATTTGTGAAAGGAAACAAGTCCATTCAAAATGATTCTTTTCTTTTTTGAAATTTACTGTCTCAGCTCTGAATAAAAGTCCAAGTTGTTCCATTGTTAGGAATAGGAGAACATTTAACAAATTACATTTTTTTTTTTTTGCTTTTCCTTTTATTCTGGGGCACACTGTTACAATGATAGTGTGTTGAGATGCATGTAATAGTAGTTAGTTGAAGTCATGATTTGCAAAAGACCTTGGGAGATGACCCTACTTAGCTTAAAAAATATTTTCACTTGACACAAAATATTGCGTTTGGAATATATATATATATATATATACACATATGAGATATGGGCTAATTACACAATGTAAAATTCTTTTAATTTTATACAAATTTATAACTATTGAATGAGTAAAAATAGATGGTTGAGATTAACTCATTATTATTTTTTCAGTGAATATCTTCTCATTTTCTACTTTTAATATCAACTATCTATGCATTCAACAATCTTAAATTTATATAAAACTAAAAGGGTTTTACATTGTGTAATAATATCATATCCCATATATATATATATATATGACAGCATGCGGAGTTCAGCCTAATTTGATTATTTGAAGTTTATTAATTGATAAATGAATAAATAAATGAAAAAAAAATCCCTTTACATAAATAAAATTCTGCTTCCTCGACATATAAACATATTAGTTTGAATCTCAGTTTTCTCGAGAAAGTTTCAAAAAGGAAAAATAATCTATAGCATAAAATAAGTAGCCTACTTATTCACCCCTGAGAATTCTGAACTGTTGCTGGAGTCGATCCATCAAGCTTCTGTGGACACCAGGCCATGGCCTCGAGGAATTCCCAAGTCATTTGCCAGCTTTGTACACAACTGTAATTATATATATCACATTTTATTTTTTTGGATTAAATTGATAAGATTAGTGAATTAAGCCGTAGAAATTAATTTTACCTGTCTATAAACTGTAGAATCACCATGTGATTTCCTTAATTCCACAACATACAATGAAGGGCTTATATCAAACACCTGACATGTATAATTAATTAATCACCATTAAACCTGGATATGGTGATCACAACAGATTTGCTCATATTTTGACAAAAGAGCTTACCTCAGCTGCAACTGAGAGACTGCCAAGACGTTTTTGGCCTCTGGGTTCTTGTGTTGCTTTCAGCTAAAACAAAGCAACATACAAAATTTATAGTTATTGTTAGTTACATTACCATGAAGCATATATACCAACATACAAAATAATATTTGGTTGAATGGAAATGGTTAGTTAACTAACAGTCCACGCTTATCGTTGATGTGAGATTATTACATCACCACTTTCGACACATGACGTGTTACATCATCGCTCTCAACATGCGACATGTGACATGTCATCATTTTCAACACATGCTATGGATAACACCATCACTTTTAATAATGTAACATGTTACGTCATCACTTTTAACACGTAATATATTCCACGTCATCACTTTTGACATGTTTAATCTTATGTCAACGTCGTATGTTGACCGTTAGTTAATTAATGGTTTACCTTCAACCAAAAATATTTTACTTCAAAATAAAACGTTAAGGGTTAAAATGTTTAAAAAAATATTAAAATGATTATTTTATCAAACGCGAATTTTTGGTATTATGCCATCTAACAAAAACTCGGTATGCGTTGGGAAAGTAGGGAGTGCATCAAGCAACAAACCAACCTTTCCGTTTCTCATTTGGACTCGAAATCCCATCTCTGTAACCGTGTCTTGGATCCTTGCGAGCAAATCTTTGAGATTGGATGTAAATCTAATCTTCCTTTCAGAGACATCCTGCATGCGCATAGTTGGAAAAGTTGAGTGATCAAAATTATAAAACAATGAAACACAAGTGACTACAATTGTAAATTCCCCTAAATTCAATGACCTTAAATGTTACAACCAGATAAAATTCTCCAACATCAAAATTAAAGTTTCATGAACTGTAAAAAGGTTGTTAATTTTGGACTTACCTCCTTCTCAAAGAAACCAGAAAGGTCTAGGCATGAAGACATTCCTATCAACTGGAAAGCATTAATAAGAGAGGGTGATTCTTGACTCCTTCCATCACACCCCTTCATCAAAATAGTGTTTCTCTCTGTTAATGTTCCAAATTTGCAAAAACAAGACTCATCCAAGATTGAAGAAGGGAAAAAAGGTTGGGAGTTCATACCACTTCACACATTGAGAAGGCTTCGTCATCAATGTATATAGTGTCTTCTTCGTCATCGTCAGGAACTGCATGAGTATAGTCTTGCTTGAACCATCCATCTTCCTTGATACCCGCCATTGTTATCCTGGTTTCAGGGTTTGGATCAAGTATCCTTCTTATCATGTTCAGAGCTCCAGGTGATAACCATTTTGGAATCGGAGGATCCCCTTTGAAAATCTGAAACCCAAATCTCTCAATGGCATTATTACATATAATTGTTCATTGGAGTTGCTAAGAAAAAAATCTAAATTTAAACCCAAAAGTAAGCATTCGAATACCTTTTGATACAGAACTGCAAGGTTTCTATCATCAAAAGGGAGATATCCAGTGAGAATTACATATAGGATGACGCCGCATGACCATATGTCTGAAGTGGAACCATCGTACCCTCTATTTGCCAGTATCTCTGGTGCAACGTAGTTTGGACTTCCACATGTTGTGTGCAGTAAGCCATCCTCCTAGAAATCCAAAATAGAAGAACATCTTTATTTAAAATTATTTCAAAAGGATTTTTTAAATAAAAAATGGGTGATTTTATTGTTTAGAATAAAGCACCACTTTACCCTAATATGTTGAGGCAATGCACTGAGACCAAAGTCAGATATCTTTATGTTCCCTTTTGCATCAATCAGAACATTTTCCAGCTGAAAATATATATCATATACCATATAATTTTTTATTTAATGATTTTACAAATCAAATATATGATATGCTTAGAGGTGATGAAAGGACCTTAAGATCCCTGTGGAAAACGCCTTTGTTGTGACAGTAACTAACACCATCAATTAACTGCTGGAAGAAATGTCTTCCTTCAGCTTCAGAAAGCTTCCCTTGGGATGCCTGTATATTTGATACAAAAGCAGATAAGCAAAAAAACAAAGCAGTGTAACTAATTTAACATTACTGCAGCACCACAAAGTAATTTCAAGCAAGCCCTTACAATTCTGACGAACAATTCCCCTCCAGTTACGTACTCTAGGACCATGTAAATCTTGGTTTTGCTTGCCAATACCTGCATGTTTATTATAAGCAAAGGCATCATTGGAGCAATTCACTATAGCTGATATAGACTTGATAGAGCACTGAAAATCTACAGCTCTAATCATACGATCATGATTATCGTCATAAACAATACATTATACACGTGTATTTAAAGAACTAGCTAAATAAATAAATAAATAAACCGTATGTTTTTGTATTAACTTTGCTATGAAATTTCTATTTTTATCAGATAATGTATTGACGTTAATTCTTAAAGTTCTATCTGCAATTAGAACTATTTACATTTAGCCTACTTTTTTGTGCCCAGGAACAAGAATCATATTGTAATCAAAACCATACAACTCAATTTAAAATATACGTATAGATTTGTAGTTGTAAAATGGCAAAGAACTTGAAGAAAATGACACCACCATGGAAACGCTTATCACAGCTAATAATGGTGGGCACAGATATATATAACTGCCGGACACAGATTCGTTTTAGTGAGCCGCCAGTTGGTGGAGGATTTGCCCAGTTGGCAAGTATTGGAAGGAAGGAAAGAAATATGAAAGACATGGGTGTTTTATACAATGGCTAAACTACACTTTTAGTAATTAAACTATCAGTTTTGTTTAATTTTAGTATCTAAACTTTTATTTGTTTCAAAATCATACATAATGTTTACTTTTTGTTTCATTTTAGTATCCACCGTTAAAAAAGTGACATTTTTTATGGATAACTTACGTCATTCATCTGTTAATTATCTTCTCAATCCTATTTTAGTCACTAAAGTTTAAAGTTTTCAATTTAACTACTCAACTTTCAAATTGTTAATGTTTTAATCATTCTAATTTATTTTATTAATTTTTTTTGTAAAATAACATTTATTATTATTTTATTAATATATAATTAGAATAAAATATTAAATTTCAAAGTTAGAGTGATTAAATTAGGAGTAATTTGAAAGTTAGTAATTAAATTAAAAAAAATAAATTTTAGTGACCAAAATAAGAGTGAAAAGATAATTGAGTGATGAATGATGTAATTTATCCATAAAAAGGTGTCACGTTGTAATAATTTCGCTAAGTTTTTAACGACGATGTATTAAAATAAAACAAAAAGTAAATATTAAGTATGATTTTGAAATAACTGAAAGTTTAGATACTAAAAAAAATAAAACTAATAGTTTAGATACTAAATATGCAGTTTACCCTTATTAAGGTCGGGAATTTTCTATAAAAAAAACCCAAAAAAGGGTGAACTAAAAGGGTGGTCCTTTTGTTTTTGATCTGTCTTAGGTTGGTCGCAAATTTAGTTTTCGAACTGTTAACTCTCATTAGCTTGATAACGTGACATGTTAACAAAAAAATGTTAATTTCAGATTTGACACATGAGCTTTTAAAAATTTATTTTTTCACCCTCTTCGACAACAACAAAAACTAAACTCCCTCATCCCAAAAAAAATTATTTCCCCTAAGCCTAAATCTCATACTTGTTGTCATCACCTTCAGCTCTCGCGCGTCCCTTGTCCAAACGCCAATGCCCTCGCACTTTGTAAATGGAATCCGTCCTTATAATTAGAAGTGGAATTTTGTTGCTTTATAAAGGGTGCAAGGGATGTGAGTTTACGAGGGAGGCCATCTTAGTGTATATGTGGCCAATTAAAGGGCTTGGGTGTTCGATTGAGCAACCTAGGGATGTCAACGCTCGAGTGTGGACCTAGGGTTCCAGATGCAACGACAATGAATGTTGTTCGAAGGGGTTTCAATCAAGTTGTGTAGTAGAGAGATATAAGGGATAATACATCAATGGGGGTTTTACGACTAAGGTATCTTATAGAAGTGTGATTTTAGTGAAGCGATGACTGGTGGTGTAGATGACAGAGAATGTCAAAGGGTTTGAGATACTTGATGAAAATCGATGAGTTTTATAATGGTGAGGAAGTGAGGTCTGACCAACGAGGGTCTGAGATTTTTTTTAACATCTGATAAGGGTAGTCAATCGGACTCGGATAACGAAGGCAACAACATGAAGCTGAAAGATGAAATGGCTGCCAGAAAAATAAAAGATGACAGTGTTGGCGAGGAGAGCACAGAAAGGCTGGATTTTCCGTTTTAGATTTTGCAGATAATGGAAGAAAGATAGTAGAGTGAAAAAATAAAATTTTGAAAGTTTAAAAAGTTTAAGTGTTGAATTAAACATATTTGTGTGTGTTAATATGCCATGTCATCAAATTAACTGGAATTAATGATTTAGTAAAGCATATTATTAACAAAAATTACTCAACTATTACTTTTTAAAACCAAACCGACCATCCATGTAATTTATTAAAGAAAAATAGGGATGGGATTTTTTCAGTTTACGGTTTTGTATTTTTCAATTGGAAGAAATGGACCCCACTTGACAACTGGCCAGTGGCCATTCAGAAATTAAGAAGGTTTGGTGGTGGTGGCGTGGGATGGCTGGCGGCTTGGGTATTCCCTCCCCCAGGTATATCTTATGAGCGATTCATGGCGGGCCAAATGAATAAATAAATAAATAGACAGACCGACCAAGATTTATGGCTCTTGAGAGGTTCAACGGAGACACATATTTCACGTGCCAAACCCAAAAGCAGAGATATATTGACCCTAAATTTGGTATTAGCCACACATGAAATACACGTTTGGGTCCTCGGGTTGATGAGAAAATTAATGATGATGTAACATTTTGTGGTGAATGGGTGACAATTGGTTCAATTTTTATTTTATGATATGACATTGACGGCTATGTTAAAGGAGAAGTTCTATATTATGGCAGTCTTAATATATGATGAGAAAAAATACTATTAGTTTTATTATTTTTTTTAATATTTTGAAAAAAAAATTATTTAAAATATTATTATTTCTATCTAAAATGTTAATGTTATAAATATTTTCGGTAAAGTGTATAGCAATAACAAAATCGCTAGAAAAAATAATATTTTAGGTAATATTTTACCGATTATGTTAACAAAACCGGTAAAACGTCCAATAATAACAAAAACAGTAGAAATAATAATATTTTAGGTAATTTTTTATCAAAAATATTAAAAAAATCAATAACATTTTTTCTTTTAACTATATATTAAAATTGTCACAAGACTTTCCCATGTTAAATGCTACTGAACTGGATAAGAGATTAAAGGCCAGACATTCAAAATATCCAATCATTGGTTTAAGCATGTCAAAGCATAAAATTAAACTAAGAAATAAAGAAAATTAATGATAAAAATGAACTAAAAATGCTTTTTCAAACCTTCAGCACAATATTTTAACTAAGTGGTAAATAATTTAATATATTTAAATAAGTTTCAAGTTTGAGAATTTAAGCATATAAAAAATCTCTATTAAGAAACTCCTCCATTAAAATTATACGTATCACACAAGTCGATCTAGATTAATCAAGATAAAATAAGAGAATTATAAATCATATTCAAATTTGTTTCTTTAAAAACAAATTAAGGTATAATATTTGAATTAGATTTGAGATGGCCAAACACCTAAATATTCCCGACAATATTCCTAATTGCGGGTGATGGAACTTGTTTAGGATAAAAATTACGTTATGAAAAAGGGGGGGGGGTAATTTTATTTTTTGAAAAACCAGATTATCTTTTCTCATCCCTATAATTGATACTGAATTTGGGTATGTCGATTGCAGAGGGGTAATTAAATTAATTGGCATGAACCAACAACACCAAAAATTACTGAGAGTTGGTAATAGAACTATAAGACTTACCTCATGTAAGCGAACAACGTTAGGATGCTTGAGCAGTTTCAAAGTGGCGATTTCTCTCTTTATCTGCGCAATTGGAGATTGAGATTTTTTTTTCTCGAATTTAGAATCCGAAATGCCCTTGAATTTACAGAAGAAACAGAAAGCAATCCGAAAACAAACAACAAATAAAAAGATCATTAGTAGTTTGGAAAGAAATTGAAGAACCTGATCGGCGATGTTGAGTTGAATGAGCTTAGACTTTTCAAGGATCTTGACGGCGAAAGGGAGACCGGAATGGAGACTCTTAGCCAATTTAACTTTACCGAAATTCCCTTCCCCGAGATTCCTCCCCAACTCGTAATTCCCCAATTGCAAAATTCCTTTCTTCTTCTTGTTGTTCTTCTCCTCTGTTCTCTCGATGCCCATTCACAACTGTTATCTCTGTAAATGAATCGAAATCTAAATAAAATTCCAAAAGATCTGCGCCTCACTGTATGTAATTTTCTGGTAAAACGAGAGCTTGGAGTAGAGAAGGCTTAAAAGAGAAGATAAATGGAGAGAAGAAGAGTTCGTACGCGAAAATGTTTTCGTAACTCATGAAACCGTTGAAATGGTCCTCCTCACGCCAACTTGGATTTAACTGCTCAAATTCATGTTTTGGTCCTTCCACTATATTCAAATGTGGGAATTAGTCTCAGTATCTTTTATTTCACATAATTCATAATCTCTCTTTTTGGAACTCATTGAGCGTCGTCCTCAGTGATAGAAGAGAGTGTTACTTCTCTTTAGATTTCAGGTTCAAATAACTGCACTTGCAGGGCGTGTGTTGTTAATAACTAAGAAAAATTATAGACATATACTACCTTATAATCACCTCATAATATTTAAATAATAATAATCTATATTTTTATAATGTCTTTAGTCGATCCAAATAATTGCACCATTAACTACTCTGATTAAAATTTTTATTTTCCAACATAAATAAAAATAATATCTACACAACGAGTAAGAATAATGTTTGTTTTTATTTTTATTTTCTACAACAAAAAATTTAATTAAAATAATTTAATTTCTGTTTTGAGAGATAATTATTTTAGATATTTGAACTCACAGATAAGATTATAAAATTTGAGTGGTTAAAGTAAAATACAAGGACTAATTCCTGATTTGAGTCGAATGGAATGACCAAAATCAAAATATGACCAGTTTTAAGATAAAGATGGTACTCCTAATAGGCAAGCCCACTATTTAAAAGCTTACCCAATTTGATGGAGGAAAGACTGCAACTTTTATATACTAATAATTTCATTCATACTTATCCCAATTATTCGGGATTTTCATCAATCTATTTACCAAATAATTCATACCTCTTTTATTATTACTTCTTCTTTTTTGTAACTACGGAACAGGCGATAGTGACCCTTGTAACTCTATTTACTTCATTCGTAAATATCAAAATTCAAACTCCTGATTTACTTAAAGAATCTAATATCTCATCCAATTAGATTAACTAATTGATGATTCTTTTATTACCATTATCATCATCATCATCATCATCATCATCGTTGGAGAAAAATATTATTTGTTCCCTAATTTTTGTTCCCAATAGATAAATTTGGTCTAGTCATCACTCATCACCTTATATAATTTTTGGGCTCATTTTTTTTAAAGAAAAATGATCTGCAAAATCTATTTTTTTTTCTTTGGATATCAAATAAAAATTAAATTTGGATTTTTAAAATCTAAAATTTTAAATTTATTTTGAAAGTAAGAACTTATATATATTCATATATCATTGTGTATGTTAAAAGAGGAGGCAGTATAACGCCACATGTTTTTCTAGGTTATTTGTGTTGTACATATTTTATTTTAATGTTTTAAAAATATTATATTTATATAATTTTATAAAAAAATTATGATAAGTTGACAACTTGATTCATGTTGTTTTGACGAGTGTATGAATTTCTGTTGTATTGTTATTGTTTTGATATGTCGTGTCTTAATTATTCTTTTATTTTGTGTGTTGTATAGTTATATTATATTGAAAAATATCAAATAGAACTTGTATTTTTTTATATGCAAGTTTTAACGTTGTATATTAATGTCGTATTTGACTTGTTTGTTCTAATTTATTTAATGGACGTTGAGATCTAAATACTATAAATCAAAAGACAGACATATTTCATGTAAATCCAAAGCTTAATATTTTGTTCACCAACCTATTATCTAATATGATATGGCAGGCACTAGTCAAACAAGGGTGAGCAGCCGGCAAGTTCAAAGTTTGCCTTCGCAATCACATTGCCCAAATAATAAGTAAAATAGTAGATTATTATTATGTAAATCTAGGGATGGCCATTTCACTACCAGACGAATTCGTCAGATTAATTTTTTATTTTGAAAATCTTGATCAGAGTCGAGTCATTTTAAAGATGAGATCAGATTAGATCAGATTTAGGTAAAAAGAATCCAACTCAACATTATATTATTATTATCTCTTATTAAAGATAATTACAATAATAACTATTTTATTTTTTTTCGATTAAATTCTCATTTTACCTAGTAAAAATAAATTTATACCTAAATATCATGTCGAATTTAAACCATCATAAACCTTAGTTAGGTCTAGTGCGGGTGGAGAGATTTAATTTTTGGGTCAGGTTCAAATGAGTTAAAAACTCAACCCATGACCATCCGAGGGAAACGATGAATAAAAAATAAACGAAACTAGTTCACACAATTTGGAACATACAACCGAATCTATGAAATAATCCCCACTTGTCTTTCCACTACAAGTTCCTACATTTCTATTTCAAAAATTGAAGAGGGAAAAAGTTTTGTACAAAATCATTTACAGCTCAACAAACTGTTTATGACAAATCTAAGAAGGCGGATGCTGGCGGATTCGGATGTGGATGCAGATGACATGGTTTGTACATCATCGACAATCTGAGAGACCTGTCTGAAGATAGGTACGACGTGCATGAAAATTGTTGGATCTGAGGGGACTATGGCAACAGCTACATCAGTCATCCATGCCAGCTTTCTACTTGTTTCCTTATTGATATCACAAGCCAGTTGCTGGAAAAGAGCCAGCAATACTCCTTGGCTCAGCGGGCATGGTTTCATCAACAATATCCCTTGCAGATCGACCTGGTGAATTCAATTCACAGCAACAACTGTCAGACCAGGTCTCAAACTAGATCTTTCTTCTTGCTGGAAAATATTGTCGTCATGAATAAGAGTGAGTACGTTTATTCATCCGTTGTTAACTTACCTGAGAACACAACCAGGAAACTATGGAGACATCACTTCTGTGCAGGGCTGCTGCGAATGCTTCATCATATTTCTTCTCAGCTATCATTCTTCCCAACTCTTTCATTGGATCCATATGTGCCTCCGGCTGCTACAAAAAGAACATATATCAGTCGGTGTGAGGCAGATAAACATGAATAGTGAGCATCAGATATTTTATTCTTCCTTTCTATTTACTGAGAGTTCTGGGTAGAGAAACAGAGAGAGCAAATGAGCATACCATCTCATGTAGATAAGCCAAACGGTCCATTACTCGGTTGTGTCACCAAGGGATTTCCTGCATTAGAGTTACCCCCTGCAGCTGCCATAGCTAGAAGTTTTCGTTGCCCATTTGCCAATTCTCCATTTAAAGTTTGTGTGATTGAAGCTGCAGAATTAATAGCTTCCTGCAAATAGAAAGCAGGTCATCTTAAAAGACTTGGTTGTACCAGCCAAGTCTATAATACAAATATGTAAAAAGCTGCAGACAGCCGTATAATCAATCATCCATTACTAAAATTCTTGGGAACAAACAAGTTTAGTACCCTAAAACCCAATACTTCACATAATATCAAAGGCCATCCTTCTATGGTTCAATTCCGTGCATGTCGGTGTAAAAGCACCAGGCTATGATACTATATTCTTATAAATCTCCCATTCAAGCACAAATCCTAATATTGGGCATAAATATCTACCTTCAGAACTTATCTTGGTAATTTACAAGATTAATCAGGCAACCAGATTTTGCAGAAAAAATGTTCGAATAAAGCCACCTCTATCACCGTACAAGACTCATTTATGCATCATCAGTCAATCTACAGCTATCAGCAAACAGTAGTAATACTTTCCTGCAACTTATCCTAGAGAAAGTCAACAACATTTACGAAGACCAGTAAAGACCATAAAAGATGAGAAGAATATTCAATTAAATTTGTTGATAGCTTTTATTTCTTTCAAAAAATTTGTTGATAGTTATGCTACCAAGAAAACTCACTTTTGACACAATAAAGTAGGAATTAAGTCATCATCCAAGAAACCAACGAACTGTCACTAATCTACCATACCTGTAGAACAGCGACAACGGGAGAATGTGATTTTTCAAATTGCTGCTGTGCAGCAGCTGTGTGTTCTCTTAGCCCTTTCTGAAATTTGCTCAAACATGGATTTGCATGACATCTCGAAAGCTGGAATAAAAAAAGTTTCCAAGCCAGACCTCAGTGCATCCTAAAGACATATCCAGCATTTCTCTAATCAGCAGAAAATTATCTGAGTTCAAAAGTCAGCAAAATGTCAACAGGAGGATGACCAATAGAGGGGGATATCTAAAAAACATTGAATTTAGAGACATAGAAACAATAAGAAATAACCAGAGCAGTGTTTGGACATTCATCTGAGGGGTTCTAAAGCTAAAGGGTTATCTTCAGGAAACACGAGGCAGATAGTTATTCTTCTTCCCCCCGGCCCCAACCCCAAAAAAAATCTTCTATCAACTTTAAATTCAGAGCAGTTTAAGTTCAACCACCTGTGTCACCATAAAGTAGAGGGGAAAATAGGAACAAAAAATTTCATGTGAAATAGAATTTGGTGTTTCTACCAATCATAAACACGAAGCTTATCCATTTAGTAGGGTACAACTCTTCAATTGAATTTGGTGATACTGTACAATAAATGTAATTGCATTTTACAATAGAAGTAAAAAGTCATGTGAAAGGTTGTGAATTTCATTTACAAATGCCCATGAAACATTTGAATGCTTATTTGTCAAGAAGAATAAATTCACCAATCTGACAGATCTAAATTCATATAAATGAACCTTGATTATCTAGAAATAAATTATATTTCCTTATCAAGCTCCAAATAGGGAAAGAGAAAATGCGAGGGAAGGCTCAAATGAATACAGGGTAAAAACAACCGACATGTGTAAAAAAACTGACATAAGTACAAAAAAGAGGATGCATGAACAAGAAATTACCTGAAGTGCTTGCTTTCCAGAAGTTTGAAATTGTGCTTGGATTTGCCGGGCCAATGTCACTTCAAGTTTTGAACTGACCGACTTCTCCAAAAGATTCACTGTCTTCTCTCCAACTCCTTTCTGTAAATTACCCAATTACAAACCCCATAATATAACTACTATAGTTTTAGTAGCATAAGGGAGTTGTATACCATATTTTACTACATTTAGAGGAGAAAAATTCACTAGCATAAAATGAAGCCGCTTGATGAAAGAAAGCTACCACAGCAACAAATAGTGTAGAAACATTTGAGGCATTGCCAA